GCCCAGGATATGTTCATTACTGAATTCTCCAGCTGAACAGTAAGGAAGCAATAATTTTTCTATGGAATTGCTGGATTCTCCAAAGAAGATGAAGAACAATAGCAAAGACTTATTTGCTCACTTTCTTTAAAGTTTACCAAGTGCTTTCAGCACAACAATCCTGTGAGATCTGTATTCAGTATTATGATCCCCATTTTACAGGTTAGGAAACTAAGACTCAGAAAGGGACAATGCCTTGCCCAGGGTTACCCAGACAGACAGAGCTGGGCCTCAGGACCTAAGTGTCCTGCCTCTAGGGCCAGCATACCCTCCTCCTGTTTTGTTTGATCAAATTCTAATGAATCAGACAATAAGTAAAGATTTGTTAGGCATGTACTAAGTGTAAGACAGAAAAGATTCACTGTGACCTTGCCTATCCCAACCTAGCCTCTCTCAGTGTAAGAACAAAGACCTGATGTCTATACATATAGGAGAGTGGCAAAACCATCAGACACAGCCCCAGAGTTACCTTGTTCCCCAGTGGTCGCATCCACTACCTCCACTCAGGGACTTAAAGGAGAGGTTTTTTGGTTGTTTTTTTTTAATAGTAGTTTATTTTTTCCAATTACATGTAAAGACAATTTTTAACATTCATTTTTTATAAAATTCTGTGCTCCAAATTTTCTTCCTCTCTTCCCAACTCACTTATGATCTTCCTCCAACAATTGTCTCCTATTTCGTAAGTGATTTCAATCTCTTCCCATCCATTGGCATCTTCCCATCTTGTCTACAAACTTAATTCTTCCCAATCCTTTAAAAAAGAGAGAGAGAGAGAGAGGAAACACCTTCTATTGCTATTTCTACCTCATCCAGATACTGTTAAATCTCTTTCCTAACATTCATTGCATAAGTCTACACTGGTATCTCTACTTCCTTACCATTCTTTCTTCTTAAATACTTGAAATCTGGCTTTTACCTCCATCACTCTAATGAAACTGCCCTCTCAGCAGTCATCAGTGACCTTCTAACCACAAATTTTAGGAGCCTTTCTTCAGTCCCCATTCTCTTTGACTTTGGTAACCAACTGGTACACTGGATAGAGTATTGCGCCTAGAGTTAAGAATACCTGAGTTTACAATCCAGCCTCAGATACCTGCTAGCTAGCTGTACGACCTTACACAGATCACTTACCCTCTACTTGCCTCAGCTTCCTCCACTATAAAATAGAGATAATAATAGCATCTACCACCCAGGGTTGTTATGAGGATCAAATGGATTACAGTATATGTAAAGTGCTTACTTAGCACGGTGCCTGGCACAAAGTAAGCACTTAATAAATGCTTGTTTCTTTCCCTTTTTCTTTCCCTAAAGCACTACATAAATGAGGACTATTTCTAGTAGTATTATAGCATTTCATATGATTGACTAAACACTACTTCTGGATACTTTCTCTTCCAAAGACATTTTTTTGTCTCTAGACTCTCCATTCACACTCATGGTTTCAAAGACCACCTCTATGCAGATGATTCCCAGAACCATATATCTAGGCCTAATCTCTCTTCCAAGCAAGCTCCAGACAAACATCTCCAACTGCCTATGATCCATCTCTATTTGGATGATTCATCAGCAACTCAGACTTAACTTATCCAGAGCCAAGCTTATTGTCTTTCCACTTGAACCTACTTCTTACTCTGACTTCATTCTATCTGTCAGCATTCAAAAGGATAAGCATTCAATGACTTTCCCATGTTAGAAACTTTAATATTATCTTTGACTCTTCCTCTTTCACCTTCTATAGACTATCAGCTTATCAGACCCTATTAACTCTACCTCTACAATATCTTTTGTGTCTGTGGATAACCAGAAAGATAACCACAGAACCAGGTTGAATGCCAAACATATGCTTACCAAAAAGACTATTTTACGGAGAACTCATACAGGGCAAGTGCTCACATGGTGGTCAGAAAGAGTGACACAATGACACTCTCAAGATCTCCCTTAAGAACTTTGGAATTGAAAAAAAAGAACTTTGAAATTGATTGTGTGACATGGGAGACACTGGCACAGGACCACCCAGCATGGCGAGCCCTCATCAGAGAAGGTGCTGTGCTCTACGAGCAGAGCAGAATTGAAGTAGCTCAAAAGAAATGCGAGATGCGCAAATTTAGAGAATCCACACCACATGTTCACATGGACTATTTGTGTCCAACCTGTAGTAGAACATTCTGAGCTCATATTGCTCTGATCAGCCACAGTCAGATGCATCGTAACTTGACTCTAACAGAGTGATGTCATTTTGGTACTCTTTGAGATCAAAAGACAACAACCAACCAACAGAACCAGTTATCTTCTCTAGGCATTCTTCTTGGTGACCTCTGTCACCATCCTAGCTCAGGGTCTGATTGTGACATACAGGGACCATTGCAATATCCTCATCATAGACCATTCTACCTCCTAATCTCTCCCCATCTCCAATTACATCCTTCACACTGAAACCAACTAATCTTCTTTATGCATAGATCTGATCATGTAACTTACCTGCTCAAAACCATTCATTCAATGACTCCTGTTTATCTACCATAAAAAGTTCAAAATCCTTACCCAAGCATTCAAGACCCTTCACAGCCTGCAGCATTCCCTTTGTGACTTTATTTACTCTTCCCTTCTGCACATTCTAAACTCCAGAACACCAAACTATACATTGCTCTTCATACATACCTCCACATTGTCCCTCCTCTATATCTTTGCTCACACTGCTTCTTCTGCCTAGAATGCTCCACCCTACCCCATTTCCATGTCTTATTTGTTGAAATATACTTTAAAAATCAGCTCAGATACTGCCTTCTCCAAGAAGTCTTCCTTGTCACTCCATAATAAGTAAAGATCTTCCCCCACACACACCTCACAAAGCATTTTGCTTATACCTTTCCTATTGATTTATTATTTTATTTTGCACCATAGCTATTTGGTTATGTACAGAATATATCCCACTCCTAGATGGCAAACTCTATAAAGAAAAATGTAACTAAGTCTTATTTAAGTCTTCATATGTTGTGCCCAGCACCTAGCATAGTGTGTATACATAATGGATATGAAAGAAAGAAGAGAAAAAAAGAAACAAAGGAAGGAAGGAAGGATCAAAGGAAGGAAGGGAGAGAGAGAAAAAAGGAACAAATAAAGAAGGGAGAAAGAGAGAGAAAGGAAGAAACAAAGAAAGGAATGAAAGGAGAAAGAGAGACAGAAAGGAGGGAGGAAGAATGAGAAGAAAGAAGAAGTCAGGAAAGAAGGAAGGGGGGGAGGGTAAAGAAGGAAGGAAATGAACAAATGTCCTGAATTTCAAAACGAGGAAGAAACTGATTCTACAAACTATTCACAAATAATAACTTACCATTATATCACAGTTTAAAGGTTTACAAAGCACTTTCTTTACTTCAACCCTATGAGGTAGATAGGGAGTACAAGCATTATCATTCTTATATTACTGATGAGTGAATTGAGAGGTAATGTGATTCACTAACGGTCATATACTAATCCACATCAGCACCAGGATTTGAACCCAAGTTTTCTGACTACAAATCTAGAACCCATTCCACTATCCTGAACTGCCCCTAAGTAGAATACCACCTTACTATTTTGGTGAAAATTTACTTCCTTCTCCCAACTATCCTGCTAAGAATATATCATAAGAGTTAGAGTGAAAATGTAAACACCCTCTTCTGATTTTTAGTACCATCCTTATGCCATGAAGCTACCATGGAAAACATCATAAACCAAGTGGACAAATGAAATTTTTCTCTCTCCCTCTCTCTGCCTCTCTGTTTCTGTCTCTCTGTCTCTGTCTCTCTGTCTCTGTCTCTCTCTCTTTTCCTCCCTCCCTCTCTCTCTGCCTCCCTCTCTGTCTGTCTCTGTCTCTCTGTCTCTCTTTCTCTCTCTCTCTTCCTCCCTCCCTCTCTCTCTCTGCCTCTCTCTGTCTCTGTCTCTCTTTTCCTTCCTCCCTCTCTCTTTGTCTCTCTGTCTCTTTGTTTCTCTCTGTCTCTTTCTGTCTCTCTCTTTCTCCCCCCTCCCTCTCTTCCCACCATAAACAAAGTAAAAAGTTGAAATAAAGGCCTGGTAAATAAAACAAATACCTGTTAATAGAAAATAATTCAGTTGGGCTTCCCTGATATTTCCAGAATGGGAATCATTACCTTACAGTTATGTTTACAAAGTCCTTTCACATATATTCCATTTAACTCTCACAACAGCTCATATATTGTACATATATATACACACGTTATACATATATGTATATAGGCAGACCAAACATTATCCCAACCTTATAGGTGAAGGAACTGAGACTCAAAGAGATTACATCACTTGTTCAAAGTAATATAACTAACTTGAACTCAGAACTCCTGGCTCCAAGTTCAGTGTGCTTCCCACTGCACCAAGCAGTCTCTGCAATCCTGCCACATTGATACGGTTTTCTGGATCTTCTCAACTCTAAACTTTACTTTGCCTTTTGGAAAAAGGGGAAAGAATGACTGAAAATATAGAGAAATACTAAAGAGGACAGGAGAAGAATTGAAAGCATGTATGCATGAGAGCCTCCTACTTCTCACTAAAGAAGTTATCTGTCGAGAGGGAGATGGGCAGTGGTGTATGGGATTGGGGCTGAAGAGGATTGAAAATGGTTTGAAGAGCTGCTATGGAGAATGGGCTAAGGAGTCAACTAGAGCTGAAGGGTGGGAACTTGCTCTGACTTTATCTCAAATAATATCCACTGAAATGGGGCTTAGAAATGAAATATCAAAGGAATTCCACTCTGTAGTGTCTTCTTCTTGATCTGAGTTGGCATTCATTTAAAAAAAAAAGACACTAGTATTTACAAGGCAACTACTTCTGGTGAAATCTTGTTCCATGAAACAATCTCCTTTTGGAAAGGGGTGGGAAGAAAAAATTGTGATTGCCTGACGTCATCCTGTCCGGGAGTATATAAGCAGGAGGAGCTGCAGACAGGACAGTCTCTCCTTGCAGGTGCAGGTGTTTCTCAGACCAAGCAGAGACAATGGCAGCCCTCAGCTCTGCCCTGAAGCTGCTGCTGCTGCTTCTGCAGCTGCTGGGCCTCCAGGTGCTGCTTTTTTCAGGCTCGGCTGTAAGCTCCCCTGAAGACTGCACCTTCCCTGAAACAACCAACACCAGCAGCAACTTCTCCATCAAGGCAGATTCGAACATTTACAAGACCAACAAAACTTACACAGGTAAGTGAGATCAGCTGGCTCTTCAGTCCTGGACTCTGTTACAGAGGTAGCTTTTGTGGGGACAAAATGTGCAGAGCTCTACATCTCACCCCGGCCGTGGGGGAGCAACCAGGACAGTAGCTGAAATTATGTTTAAGGGAGAGAAGGGGGAAATGACAGGGACTGTCTCCCTTGCTCTGCAAGGCAGCCATGGTATAAAAGCCCAGGATAGGATGTCGGCAGCTGTGAGTTCTAATCCTGCCTCTGACACAGTAGCAGTGGGACTTAGCACAGGTCACTCTATTTCTCTGGGACTAGGTTTTCTCATCTCTAAAATGAAGAGGGTGATCTCTGAGATATCTTTTATCTCTAAAATGCAATAATAACAGTATAACTTTTTGCCCATTGCCTTCCATACTTTCCCCAGGCAGACCACAACCACAGACAGTTAATAAACCTCAAGAAAATGCGTAACAGACACAGCCTTGCTATCGTCAGTACAGATGAAGTTTTAGGGGTTCTCTTGTTGTAGTCTACAAGTCACTTCTTAAACTAGTAGAGACAACAAGTAGGGATGGGCACTTTCTGGTTATTCTCTTGGGGGGCTTCAGCTTCTAAGCCCCACAGATAGTATCTGTCTGGGTGGTGAGGGTTGTTCAGTTGTGTCCAATCCTACGTGACCAGGTGGACTTTGTCCGTGTGATTTTCTTGGCAAAGATACTGTAAGGGTTTGCCATTTCCTTCTCCAGTGTGTCCGCATTTTACAGATGAGGAACTGAGACAAATAGGGGTTAAGTGACTTGCCCAGAGTCATATAGCTAGTAAGTGTCTGAGGAAGGATTTGAACTCAGATCTTCCAGACTCGATCCACTATACCACCTTGTAGGTTGTGTCCAGGGGGTAACTATGCCTGTGTTCTAGGAAATAACAACAATAACTCACATCAATATGGTAACTTGACAGTTTACCAAGTATTTTCTCATGATAGCCCTGTCAGGAGGTGGTACCAGCATTATATACCCCAGGCCTCAAACACAAATCTTCTGAGTCTGGTCCTCTTCCCACTATACCAGATTGAGGGGAATCAAGGCTTATGCATTACTGATCCACAGGGTGCAGTGGATAAAACATTCTTTGGAGTCAGAGGACCTGGGTTCAAATCCTAGCTGTACCACCTACTGCCTTTGTGACATTGGGCAAATCACTTTATTTTGCTGAGCCTCAGCTTCCTCATGTGTAAGATGAAGAGACTATACTAAAAGACCTCTAAATCTGTAATCCTATGAACCATTCAACCTTCAAGAATCACCTTTTAATTGGTGAAAATGCAAGCAGTATTGTCATGGGCCTTATGTGCATTTTCCTTGGGGTTTCAGAGAAATTGCTCCACCGGGACTTCCATCTTAGACCATGCTGAACACACCACTGGCTCCCCCACCACACTCCCACACACACTATTAGCCCAGTAGGGACCTAGAAGACTAATACAGTTTGAGCTAAGAATCAAGAAGTTGACTTTAGAAGCAGCATCGTGAACTCATCAAATAGGAAAGAAGCCATAATCAAAGAAGCCAGCAAGGACATTCCAAGTATTAGATGGCCGGTCGATGGAAGAGAGTTTTGTCTGCAGGAACTGAGAAGGAACATAACTTGTGGAGGGAGTGAGAAGGGGGAAGAAATGAAATTTGGGGGAAGTGAGGGAATGGGAAAGGAGAGTAAGAGAAAACTCCAAGATTCCTCATGTGAGAATGTGACAGCAGCTATAGAGATTTCTGAAGGATTTACAGGTAGCTACACACTCATGTCTGAATACACACACACACATACACACACACACACACACACACAATTTTAAATTTTAATAGCTTAAATCTGCCCTAAGAACAACCTGTATATAGCTAGCATTTATATAGAGCAGGGGTGGGGAACCTGCAGCCTCAAGGCCACATGTGGCCCTCTAGGTCCTCAAGTACAGCCCTTTGACTGAATCTAAACTTCACAGACCAGTTTGGATTCAGTCAAAGGGATGCACTTGAGGTCCATATGTGGCCTTTAGACTGCAGGTTCCCCACCTCAGATATAGAGCTTTAGGGTTTGCAAAGCACTTTACAAAGATCTAGTTTCTTTTTCACAACACCCTGGGAAGTAAATGCTATTATTATCCCCATTTTACAGGTGAGGAAACTAAGGCAGACAGAAGTTAAGTGGTTTGCCCAAGGTCATACCACTCATCAGTGTTTGAGGTGGAGTCTGAACTCCCAACTCAAGGTTCAGTATTCTATATCCACTTTCTCCCTCTAGAGGAAAAGGAAAATAGAGTAAACATCATTTTAAATCACAGCACTATATACAGCTATATTTCTACAATAAGAGCAACTCACATTTATGTCATTTTACAGTTGGCACAATGCTTTACTCACGACAAACCTGTGAGGTAGACAGTACAAGTATTATTGTTTCCATTTTATACATAAGGGACCTGAGTCTCAGAGGAGAGAGATGACCTGCCCAGGGGTCACAAAGCTACTAAGTGCTAGGTCTGGGGCTTTGAACTCAGGTCTCTCCTGACTCCAAGGCTAGACAAAGGCTACTGCTGCCCCTCTGTAAGTAGAGAACACATGGTATACATTTCATCTCTCTCCTAGGGAGATTGGCCCAGCACTATATAATAGTTCTGGGCTTACACAGAAGTCTACTTTTTTTCCCTTGTAGTTGAATCTTTGCTACAGTCAGTGAATGGCTGAGCCAGAGGAACTCTGGCCCCAGAGCTGGCACATGGTGGGCATTTAATAAATGCTTATTGACTGGACTAAGAGACAAGCAGGCAGCAAGAAATTTGGGAATAACTAGAATAACTAGAACAAAAGAAAGACAAAGATAAAGTTTGGGGATGACAGTGTGGTGAAATCTTTTGTTTTTCAGTTTTTACTGTGGTTGTGTCTGCACATAGTCATGATACCTGTGCTGTAACAGATACAAGGAGGAATCCCACCACCAGTGTGGATGCTCTTGGAACAAGTTGCCAGACCAGTGTTGGTAGAGTTACATTTATCTGGATGTCGGCTTCGGTTTCTCTAATGTACAGGCAGGGGGAATGTGACTTGTCTAGATTCCCTATGGACTCCTAAGCTTCTACACAACATTGGATAGACAGGGAATATTGTCCCATCATCAACCAATTAGTACTCTATACTGAAAACTTTAGAAGTAAAAGGCATGGTCCTGACCTTCAGGGAGGTTGCAAAATGAATATGACTGAAACAAGGATGAATGTTACAAGACTGTGTGTAATTCAAAACCAAATCACAATGCACAAAGCATCAAAATAGAATGAATAGAATGCCAGACTCAGGAAGAACTGGGATCAAATCCTGCCTCAGACACCAGCTGGATGTCTTTGGGCAAATCTTTGAGCCTCTTTGTTTCCTCAACTATAAAATGAGAGTAATAATAGTATCTACCTCATAGGGTTGTTAGAAGAATCAAATGAGATAACGCATGTAAACCTTAAAGAACTACATTAATGTGAGCTATTGTTGTTGTTGTTTTTGTATAGACTATAAAATACTGTGAGAATTCAGAGAAAGGGTAGATGAGTGAGGGCTGAAATCATTAAGGAAGGCTTCGTGGAAGAGACTGACCCAAGCCTTCAAGGATGGGCCAGATTTGGATAAGCAAGGAGGAGACCACATGAGCAAAGAAACCGAGAATGGGAATGAGTGAGAAGGTGTGTCAGGAATCACAGGTGTGAGGAGAGAGTCATGACTAAAGGCATTCAAAAAGAAGAATTAGCAGGCCCAGGCGACTGATTAAGCAAGGGGGGTGAGTCAGAGATGACTCCAGCACTCATCACAACACCAGAGCAGCTGTGATGTACAGATAGAGGACAGATCAGGGGGCTTTCCTCAATGAGTCAGCTCGGGCCCTTCTGTGTAAGGATACATACCTCTTACTTTTTACTTCCAAAGATGTAACTTCACCTGTGAGAGTATTCTCTCCAGCATAAAATACTATTGTCCCAATAGTTTTAGAAGGTTGTTATTGTTGAATCGTTTCAGTAATGTCCAACTCTTCATGACCCCATTTGGGGTTTTCTTGGCAGTTGCCATCTCCTTCTCCAGCTCATTGTACAGATAAGGAAACTGAGGCAAACAGGGTTAAGTGATTTGCCCAGGGTCACAAGGCTAGCAAGTATCAGGCCCTCCTGACTCCACAGCCAATGCCCTATTCACTGTACCACCTCACTTAGTTTAATAATGTTGATGATGATGATGATAATAATAATAATAATTCTCTTCTGATGAGGAAACTCTCCACCTTATCAAGATTGTGTTCTCACCAAGCCTGTAATGGAAGACTTTCCAGCCTGCAGCAACAGCCCCAGTTTGTAAAGTTCTCACAGTCCTTGGAAACCCAGGGTCACCGCTGTGATGCTGGGAGGAGGCATCAGAACCAGACTTGACTAGAGGAGCTATCACTTTATCTGTAAGAAAATACTGGAGAAAAGGTTTGTGCCCAGCAGGATTTAAACATAAATGTTTCCTCTTCTTTATGTGGAGGAAATGTGAGGCGTTCCTCAGAAGGCTGAGCAGTCCCTGAGCAATGAGAGTTCAAGGCTATGCAGTTCATCCTGAAGTACTAAGGGACTCTCTTTGTGCTTTTATCTATGGGACAAACATTTATTAAGCACCAGCTGAATAGTTCTTCTCAAAGAAGTAGACAGTAGGGGGGCAGCTGGGTGGTGCAGTGGATAGCGCTCTGGTCTTGGAGTCAGGAGGATGTGAGTTCAAATATGACCTCAGACACATGACACTTACTAGCTGTGTGACCCTGGGTATGTCACTTAACCTTGTTTGTCTCAGTTTCCTCATCTGTAAAATGAGCTGGAGAAAGAAATGGCAAACCACTCCAGTATCTTTGCCAAGAAAACCCCAAATGGTGTCAGGGAGAGTTGGACCTGACTGGACAACAAACATAATCACTAATAAAAGCTAACATTTATATATCACTTCTACATAAATATATATCACATCTATATAAATGACATATATATATTATTTATGTAGATGATCCTCACAACAACCCTATAAAGTAAGTGCTATTGTTGTTCCCATAAAGAAACTGAGTCTGAGAGTAGTTAAATACCCTAACCAAGGTCACATGGCTAGGATGCCTGAGGATTTAAACCCGTCTTTTTAACCCCAAGTCTGGTACTCTTATCAATTTACTGAACAACTAAGCAGCCTCTTATCTACAGTGGATAGAGTATTAAAGCTGGAGTCAGAAAGACCTGGGTTCAAATCTATCTTCTGACACTTGCTACCTGTGTAACCAAGGGGAAATCCCCTCCCGCCTGAGCCCTAGTTTGCTTATGCGTAAAAATGGGGATCAAAATAACTGTAGTTTCTACCATACTGGGTTGTTTGAAGGCTTAACTCAGCTCCAGGGTGTAAAGAACCTTGCAGACTTCAATGCATTATAGAAAATGTCAGTTTATTATTATTGTGCTTTATTAAGTATATCTGAGCCTCAAGGTGTTCGACTCCAAATCAAGTACACCTTCCACACCACCTCCACCCCCAAACACTCAGGATAAGATTGCAAAGTTTCCTCTCTTTCCTCCACCCCAAATCAAATCCACAAGTATTTCCCAAGGGCCTGCCTTGTGTACATCAGGACCTGCGGAACTGGACAAGACCCCACCCTGGTTTATGAGCAGAATGATTCTGAACCTGTGCGGAGGTGGAAGGGCATGGCACCAGCGGAGTCTGAGGGTCACTGGGTGTGGTGGCTGCTCAAAGACTGCTCTCCGACCTTCCACATGCACAGCCGGCTGCTAATCACAAAGCCTGGGATGGTCACAGTTGGCCTTTCCAAATGCAGGACACAGTCATGTTCATTCCTGTGACTTTCTTCGGAGACAGACAGCTTACATTTTTTTTTTCAATCATTTCCTCCTAGTGACTTTTTCTGGGAATGAGGACCTCTACTCTGTGATCCTGCAAGCCGTGGACAAGGACAACAAGTCCATCGGCCATTGGCAAAATCCTGATCACCTGTGCAATGACTCTGTGCTGTACCAAGTGAAAAATTTCAATGGCACCATCTTCCAGGCAAACTGGACATCCCCTAATTGCTCAGACATCATGGAAGTTGAGATACGGTAAGAAGTTCTTATTTGCTTAAAGATTTTTAGTTTAATTTAGTTTTTTGGGGCGGCCAAGTATAGTAGAGGGGGAAGAGTTTCATTAAGTCTCATTAAGCAGAATCCACTAAGACTCCTACTTTTTTTCCAGACTATTCTCCAGCTATACCTCCCCATCTAATACAACATCCTTATTTCACAAGTAGTTATAAACAAGGGTTATCGAATGTTTCCTATGAACTGAGATTAGTAGAAGACAAATATTTTTGTGCTGAAATGTAAATTCAAATATTTTAGGAGGCTTGTTTGATTTTTCACACTAACTGAAGGTCAATAGTACCGTGGTCGTGGGAGGTGAGTAGAAGGCAGCATGGAACTGATCAGTCACAGAGAACTAATAAGTGGTTATTTCTTCAATAAGAGCCAATGGCAATTCATAATAGATCTTTCTTTATCTTTCTATTTTTTTTTTTTGGTGAGGCAATCAGGGTTAAGTGACTTGCCTAGGGTCACACAGCTAGTAAGTATCTAAGGATTTGAACTCAGATCTTCCTGACTCCAGGGCCAGTGCTCTATCCGCTGCACCACCTAGCTGCCCCTCAGAATAGATCTGAAATGTGAATTTATCAGTTTACACTCCAGGAATCAAACTGCAATCTGAGCAATATACAGTAAGGTTTAGAGATACTGTGCACTCAATCTTTCTATGTAGTAAATATATTTTTTCATATATATTTTATGTATTTTTCACATATATGTTTTATATATACATATATAATCTATTATATACAATAGATCTAAAACCAGAAGAGGCCCTATCTAGTCTATCCCCTTCATCTTACAGATAGGGAAACTGAGGCCTGGAGACCTGAAGTGACATGCCCAAAAGTCACACAGTTAATAAGGTGCAGGATTTGAACCAAGGGTCTTTGACTCCAAAGCCAGTGCTCTCTCCTCTGTACCATGGTGTCTTCTTTTGCAGTATAATATCTCATTAAAAGATCAATAGGTACAACAAAGGATGGAAGAAACTGATTCATTTCTTACCTGCTTGGGAAGTGGATAAGTAATGTCATCATGATAAAGCTAATATTTTGTCCTCTTCCAAAAATGCTTGAGCCAAGCCCTGCCTGGAGGCTAACAGGGACCTCCCATTGCACCTTAACTCTGTCTCCTTCCCAGCTGCCTCCTGGAGGCTATTGAGTTTCTTACTGAGAACCACTCCTTGGCAGGGGAGCTTTCCCACACATACTTTGAGTCTATCTTTTCCCCATGAAAGTGAGTATTTGACTACAGGGACACTATGGACACCTGATAAACATGTGCTGGTGTCAACGGGACAATGAAGACACCCAAGCACTATCTCTGCTACTCAGTTGAATTAGATAGTTTGAGGGAGGGCTGGATATTTCCAGAGGGTAGTGAGTTGTCTACACAGTGATTCAGGGGAGCAGAATCTCAAGTGAAACTGACCTGCCAGTCTGAGGATGGCAGTGGCGGTTCAGTAGCCAGACAAGATAGAGTAAGATAACATATCCCCTTTCATTTCAGATCATTAAAACCTCCATTCCCCCAGACAGAAATGGAAAAAAGCTCAGGCTGTAAACTGACTGGAAGCAAGGCAGTCACTTCCCATAGGCCCTTTTCTTCCAAATAAGCAGCTCAAATTCTCAGAAATTCTTGGTAACTCAAATATCCTTCCACAGACACTGTTCCTTCCCTGGCGCTGTAGAATATTGAATGTTTAGAATTATTCTTCGGTTTGGTTTGGATTTAGAGTGTAGAGATTGTAGTTGTTCAGTTGTTTTTCAGTTGTGTCTGACTCCTCACGACCCCATTTGGGGTTTTCTTAGCAGAGATACTAGAATGGTTTGCAATTTTCTTCTCTGGCTCATTTTACAGTTAAGGAAACTGAGGCAAACAGGGTTAAGTGCTTGCCCAGAGTCACACAGCTAGTAAGTGTCTGAGGCCAAATTTGAATGCAGGAAGATGAATCTTCCTGACTTTAGGCCCATCACTCTATCCACTGTGCCACCTAACTGCCCAGCTGCCATTTTAAAGATTATAGTAGCTCCAAGCTAGCAGGGAGCTCAAAGGACATCTAGTCCAATCCACACCTGAACAAGAATCTCTTCTATAAAATATCTTTATTTTTTTAACCTCCAAGTAGTCGACTTTGCTTTAAAACCTCTAGTCAGAGAACCTTCTACCTCCTCCCATCCCCCATCCCCCATCCTGCCCATTATGCTTCTAGAACACTCAAAGTGTTAGGAAGTTTTTTCCTTACATCAAACATAAACCTGCTTCTTTGAAATTTCTATCCTTTCCTTGATTCTTCTGCCTCCTGAGGCTAAGAAGAAGTCTAATCCTTCTCCCACACAGCAGCCTTTTAAATATTTAAAGTCTGTCCTGTTCCCCTACCACTACCCACAAGTCTTTTCTCCTTGTTAAGTATCCCCAGTTTTTTGGTCAGCTTTCTCATACAGCATGAACTTGAGGCTGTTCGTCATCATGGTTGTCCCCCTCTGGATATCTTCAACCTTCTCAGTCTCCTTCCCAAAATGTGCTACCCAGAACTGAACAAATATTCCCACTATACAGTCTGACCAGGGCAGAATACTCCAGAGCTCTCACATCCTAGACCTAGACACTATTCCTCCAATTCCATTAACTATTTTAGGTTGCCATATCCTACTGTTTGGGCATCTATGTGGCACAGTGGATAGAGTGCAGGGCCTAGAGTGAGAAAGACTCATCTTCCTGAGTTCAAATCTGGCCTCAGACACGTACTAGCTGTGTGACCTTAGGTAAGTCACTTAACCCTGTTTGCCTCAGTTTCCTTATCTGTAAAATGAGCTGAAGAAGGAAATGGCAAACCACTCCATAATCTCTGCCAAGAAAACCCCAGATGGGGTCACAACAGTTGGACACAACTGAACAACAACAATCATACTGTTCATTCATTAAGTGTAATCTACTAAGACTCCTACTTTTTCTTTTCAGATTAACTACTCTCTAGCTACACCTCGCCATCTAATACAACATCCTTATTTCACAAGTGGTTATAAACAAAGGTTATTGAATGTTTCCTATGGACTGAGACTAGTAGAAGACAAATATTTTTGTGCTGAAATGTAAATTCAAATATTTTAGGAGGCTTGTTTGATTTTTCACACTAATTGAAGGTCAATAGTGCCAGGGTAGTGGGAGATGAGGGGGAGGCAGCATGGAACTGACCAGTCACAGAGAACGAATAAGTGGTTATTGAGAACCTGGCATATTTTTTAGCACTTTCCTAGGCACTATGGGCCACAAAAGAATTTTAAGACATAGTTACCTCACCACAAGGATTTTATGGTCTAGTTGGAAGAGATAAAACATAACTAGGAAACCATTTGTGATATATCACTAATTATTTTATACTGCCATAATAAAGGGCTATGTAGGGGTGGAGAACCTGTGGCCTCGAGGCTACATGTGGCCTTCTAGGTCCTCAAGTGAGGCCTTTTGACTGAGACCACGTATTACAAAACAAATCCTTTTATTAAGGGGATTTGTACCGTGAAGATTTGGATTCAGTCAAAGAAAGGGCCACACTTGAGGAGCTAGAGGGCCACATGTGGCCTGGAGGCCAAAGGTTCCCCACCCTACCTGCCTTCTTCACTGTATCTCACAAACAAAAAAAATAGAATAGAAAGCAATGTGGTATGTAGTAAGGAGCCAAATGTGCTCCACTAAAGAAAGAGGGAAGGCAAAAATAGTTAAAGAAGGAAGATTTCACAGTGGGTCTGGGCCAGCAGGGAAGGCTTCCCTGAAGAGGCCATTCTGGGAATTGTTTCACAGCTAACGTAGCAGTGGAAGGCAGTCCCAGATTCACATTTTCTGTGGGTCTGATCAAAGTGAGAGCTCTCTAGTTAACCCAGCTCTTCATGGACTCTTCTACCTGATGTACATAGGTCTTAGCTGAACTCTTTCTTCCATAGATTTAGTCTCTCACCCCTGTCTCCTGTTGTTTACCTTCCCAAAGGGCCTTTACCTTCTATTTCAACTATGGGGCCACCTTCTCTTCATTCAAACTGGACAGGAAAGGTAAGTTGTTTTGGAGCGTCTTGGTGTGATGGATTGAGAAAAGGCCTCAAAGCCAGGAAGACCCAGCTTCCAGTGCCACTTCTGACACACACTGGTTGAAATGGCCCCAATGGCAAATAACTTAATCTGTCAGAGTTCTAGCTAAATCCCTTAGAAGATAAATTGCAATGAAGGCGATAACCTACGGTGGGAGAAGCTCCCTATGCCAACGAAATCACAACCTACCTTTGCTTTCAGAGGTTAGTTTAGGGTTTGGAAGGCTTGGAGTGGGGGAAGGGGCATTTTTGTTTTGTTTTGTTTTTCAGAATGCAAGAGCTGGAAGGAACCTTTAAAAATCATCTAGTTCAGCACCCTCATTTTACAGATGAGAAAATTAAGGCTCCCAGAAGATAAGCAAACTACCCACCAGGTTATGCAGAGAAGCAGTGGCAGAGCCAAGATAGAACCCAGGACTCCCAGCTCTCAGCTCTTTCCATTATACCGCACCTCATCTGCTCATCTCTAGCAGGGATGGCTAATTGGAATCCCTGTAGGGCCCCAGGAAGAAGTATCAATTATTCCTACTTTGCAACCCTGCCCCCCTTCTAGCTTGGGAAATGAGTTTTTCCTTCTAAGTCACATCTAAACAGCTGGATTCTGAAGCAGCCTTCCTGGCTTCTTGTGTCTCAGGAAGCTGGCCCTTCCTCTTCCAGAGCATCTGCTTATATGGGTATCACAAATTCAACACCCGGGTCATTTTTTTTCAATTAAATTTTTAATTAAAAGGTTCACCTAGAAACGGGAAACTGATTGGATCTGAGCCAATAACATGCCCTCCTCACCGGTAACCAGCAGCACAGGATTGAAAGTTAGCAATGAAAAATGCAGTGGATACTTGGTCGTCCTGCCAACCGCTTGTCATAAAACACGTTAAAGGAAAAATCCATTTTCAACAACAAATTCAGAAGTGGTTAGAGATCATGCAACCCGGAACACTCCCGGGGGGCTTTAACCGCATGCAATTACATTTCATAAGCTCCTTCCCTTAGTGTTTTCTCCAGTTGGCAAGGTTTGGCATTTGCTGTTCTCTTTCCTCTTAACTGTAGCTTATTTTCCTATAAATTCCATGGGCATAAAGGGCTAAGAAAGAAAATAGTTTTGTTCCTAATCACTACCTCTCAGCTTCCAAGTCAACAAAATCCTTCAGCAAAAAGAGGATTGGAATCTCTGGTGCTATGCTCAAACCCACCTGCTCGGGGAGATAGTCAGAAAACATTTGTCATAAGGAAATGCTGAATAAGGTATTGTATGTAGCATGACAAGAGGGAAAGCCACAAAATGCCAGAATGTGACAGCCCTGCAAAGTATGTCTAGAGCAAAAGAAGGCTAAGGAATAGGGACTGGCCTGTGATTCCATTCCCAGGTGAAGTCCCCTACAATGCAGGTCAGAACTTAAGAGTCTTGGACAGCTCCCTAGAGCAGTGCTATCAAACGCTTAAGTGGAAGGGGGAGGGGTAGTGTGGGAGAAGCCACTGAACTGTCACGAGGATCCTTGTTGGTACATACTGTCTTAGAAAACTACATGTTAACATTACCTATGTTTTGTTGTATTTTTATGCATTTTATTAAATATTTCCCAATTAAGTTTTAATCTGCTTCAGGCTGCACTCAGAGTCTATAGGTCACTTTCGATAGGCCACTCTGGCCTAAAGCACTGAGATGTTAAGTGACTCAGGGTCACACAGTCAGTATATGTCAAAACCAGGACTTGAACTCTAGCCTTTCTGAGTCCAAGGCCAGCTCTCTATCCAGTATACCATGCTTCTTCTCAAAAGAAGGTATATTCCTAAGTGAACCACTAGAAGTCCCCCTTGCCCTTATTCTGTAAACTCAAACTTCCTTTGTTGTTGTTCAGTCATGAAAGACTCTTTGTAAAATTTTCTTGGCAAAGATACTGCAGTGGCTTGACATTTCCTTCTTCAGCTCATTTTATAGATGAGGAAACTGAGGTAAACAAGGTTAAGTGACTTGCCCAGGGTCACATAGCTAGTAAGTGTCTGAGGCCAGATTTGAACTCAGGAAGTTGAGTCTTCCTGACTCCAGGCCCAGCACTATATCCACTGTGCCAGCTAGCTGCCCTCAGACTCTCTTATATACACACACATTGTGGAGCAGTCATTGCCTTGTTCCTCTTAAATAAAGATTCTGAATATAACCAAAAGGTCAAGCTATCCCATAGGCTTAGCCATATGTGACTTGATTGCGCCAAAGTTCCAGGCATAGAGAATCAAATTATAATTCAGTTCACTATCCTTGGGAGTGCCTAATCCTTGTGTATGGATCCTCGATCCTAAGGAAATCTAGAAGTGTGGTATCTTTAACATTACCAGAGAGTCTCACCCTCTTGATCATATGTATGATCAACCTTTAGCCTAAGCCTACATTCATTGCTCTTGAGTCCTTTGAAACAAGTTGGAAGGGAGGAAAATACCATTACAAATAATATTGATGCTGTGATTAAAAATAATGTTATGTCCTTTGAAAGATTTATAATATTAAAATAATAATCAACAGCTAGCATTTAAAGTTTGCAAAACACTTCTAACTATTATCTCATTTTATCCTCACAATTCTGGGAGGTACATTCTACTACATCCCCATTTTATAGATGAAGAAACTAAGGCAGACAGAGGTTAAATAACTTGTCCAGGGTCACATAAGCTAACAAATGTCTAAGGCCTGACTTGAACTCGGGGCTTCTTGACTCCAGGTCCAGGTACAGATACATGGTGCCATCAAGTCACCTCCAATAATAAAAAAGATACATGAAGTATATAGTAGAAATAGCCTTGGCCTTGCAGTCAGAGACAGCTGTGTAATGATGAACAAGTCATCTACTTTCTCTGTGACTGTTTCCTCATCTGCAGAGTGGGGATATCAATGCACTACCTACTTCACAAGCTTTTTGTAATAGCACTCTGTGTATCATAAAGCACCATGGAAATGTCAACTATCATTATTAACATTAATAATAACAACCAAGCAGAATTAACAACAGAATGAACATTTTGAAGCCAGAGTTCACTACAGTAATTTTTCCCCTTGATGTCCATCAATTGGGGAATGGCTAAACAAGTTGTTGTATATGATTGTGATGGAATACTATTGTACTTTAAGAAATGATGATCAGGTGCTCTTAGAAAAACATGAAAAGACTTACAAGAATTGATGTAAAGTGAAATGAGCAGAACCAGGAGAACACTGTATACAGTAACAGCAATATTGATGATCTACTATGAATAACTTAGCTATTCTCAACAATACAATGATACAAGACAGTTCTGTAGGTCTTGTGATGAAAAGTGCTGTCCATCTCCAGAGAAAGAACTGGGCAAGCCTGAATGCAGATCAAAGATACTCTTTCTTTACTTTCTTTATGTTTCTTAGGGGTTTTTTTGTCTATGTTTTCTTTCAGAGAACGACTTACATGGAAATGTATTTTGCATGACTACACATGCATAACCTATGTCAAATTGCTTGCCTTCTCAATGTGGGGGAGAGGAGGGGAGGAGAGAATTTGGAAAAAAACATTTTTTAAAAAAGTTAAAATTGTTTTTACATGTAATTGGGAAAAAAATAAGAAAAAATAATAATTTCTCCCCTCTAAAATGCTGGCAATCCTGCTTAGTTATTATTATTGTTAATATTAAAATAGTTAATTATTATAAGATAGTTTACATTATGATAGTGTTACATTATAATAACACGAAATATAGTTTTATATATAGTTATATATGTCATTATAATATTACATTAGTTTATAATACTATAGTGCTTTATGGTACACAGAATGTTCTCACAACAAGCCAGTGTGATAGGACTCACATGTAAGTAGATTTCCACAGAGCTTCCATCCACCTGCCAAGAGTTATTCTAATGTTTGGTCTTTCTTTTCCAGCATCAACCCCATTGCTAACCACCCCCAAAAGTTCTGCCCAAAAAGCCTACACCAGTACAATCATTGACATCATTCAGCTCCTATTCGTCTATTTCACCAGCAAATTGATCTCCTAAGGAAGCATGTGTTCTGGTACCACTGTCCTTCTTTCCTTCTTGAGCCAAGGCGTGAAGACTGTGTGAATGAAGGTTCCATATTCCCACAATGTATGACTGTTACAACAGTGTAAGACTGACTGTAGCAGAGACAGAGGATTCACTCTGCATGCAGTGCTAGAGGTTTGACAATCAACTAGCTGGTGAAATTAAGCTAGGTAAGACAGCCAAATAGATTTCTGGAACTGGAAATTAGGCTTTTTCTTCTCCTATCCAGCCAAGCTAGGTAAAAATAAAAATGGATGATAACAGTAACCATTTGGCCAGAATGTAAATTGGAGTTGATCTTCAGTTATCACTTTGATGGCCAATCCCACACTCATCCAAACCTCACTTGGTGCCAAATGATTTCCCTGCACCCCTGAAAGTCATGGAAGGAATGGCCAGGAGGGATCAGATTTCTGGTGCAAATATATCCAGATTTTTTAAAATGCGTACATTTGATAGCATTTTTAACTTACTGAGGAAGAAAGGAAATGAGCTGAAATCAGTACTTCTGCTACTGGGAAACTCCCATTCCATTCAAACTGGTAGGTTTGTGAAGGACAACATAAGAAAAGACAATGTTTGGTGAACGAGTTTGGGGGATAGGGAAGAGAGGCTGCAAGTGATGATTTTAAAAAACTTATTTCCTTTCATTTCCAATGAATTTTTTTCAATATTGCACCCAATGAATTCTAAGGATAAGCTAGATAAATTGACACAATAAAAATCCTAGTATAATCCCTATTCATTTTCACTTAAAACAGAGACTATGACACCCACTTCTTATTTATAAATCAGGACATTAGGAAAGTGGCATTATGTGTTTTTGGTTTGGGTGTTTGTTTTGGGGATTATTTTTAAGTTCACCAGACACAGTGGATGATAATATCTCAACATCCATTTTCCTATAGACCAGACTGGCCATTTCCCCTCCTAAATAATTTATTTTTAGGTAAATTGATATAATTTATATAAAGAGAGAAGATATGAGATTCCTAGAATCAAATTTGTCACAAACGAAAAACTTCTGTGCCATGTATTAAATAAAGGCTTTTGTTCTCATTTAACACATGCTACAAATAGTCAAATTTCTTTTATAAGCCAATAAGCCAACATTCTTTTCCAGCTGCCTCAGAGCCTTTGTGGGGGGTGGGGGAGTAGATAATTCTACCTCTAAAACATAAATTAAAAAGATATTTTGTGTCTCCTAAGAACTACGCAGTTTCCCCAGTTTTCCTATTTTTCTCATTTTCTATACACCTCTTTTCTCTGCTGTACACCCTAATGTTACTCCTCATCTCTCCATGTTAAGGTTTTCCTTGTGCAAATAGGTGATATCCTTATTCATGTGAGATTGGACTAACTGGCTACCATGGAAACTGAGGGAGCCTAGCAGTGATTCTTAATAATCTAGAAAGCTTTGCCTTCAAAACGAAGAAATAAACTAGTAAATCTGCTGATTCTTTGTCCAGGACTGATATTCCCAACTGGGTATCTTTTCACAGATCCCAGCAGGTCCCATGCCCCACCCCACAAATATTCTCTTCCTTTGTTACAAGCCTGAAATCCCATTATAGCAGCTCTGTCCATTTTACAAAAAGTTCTGACCCTTGTCAACCAGCACCAATAATCTGAAAAATTGTGAAATGTGTGGTATCCTGACCTCATGCCCTAAACCTTTTTTCACATGTAATGTGAACACCCTGCCCCATCTCTCTCTCTCTCTCTTTCTCTCTCACACACACACACACACACACACACACACACACACAAAGTTGAAAATGGTTTTAAAGGTCATCTAGTCTCATGGATCTTTTAACCCAGCTCCTCTGACTCCAAAACAATTCCCTTTCCACTGTACCACACTACCTCCCTCTCTGTTATTTCTCTAAAGCATTTGACACTTCTAAAACCTCCTTCTTCTAGCTTCTCTTTCCTCCCTTGGCTTCAGCCACGCGACAGTGGAAATGGTATTAGATTTAGAATGTGTTGTGTTCCAAAAACATATAACATGTTTGGATAGAGGTTCAAACCTGGCTCTGCAATTTACTACCTGTGTGACTAATTCTTTCTCTTAACCCCTCTGGGCCTCAGTTTCCTCATCTATAAAATGAGAAGTTGGATTAGATGACTTCTAAGATTGCTTCCATAAATAAGTCTATGATCCTAAGACACGTTCTTCTGGTACCTACCTCTGTAGTCCTGCCTTCTCGCAGTATCCATATCCTTTCCCCAATCACTTACTGTGGCTATTCCCGCACTGAGATTCTATTCTCAGCCCCTCTTCTCTCTCTACACTCTTTCCCATTGGTGATATCATTACTGCTATGGCTTAGAATCTCTGCCTCCAGCCCTCACATCCACCCTGAGTTCCAGACTCACATCTCTATCTCCAGGAAATCAACATGTCTCAAACTAAGGTATTTCATATGTTCAAAACCTTGGTGTTGCTTTGACGCTTCCACCCTCTTACCTCTCACACTCCACCAGGTACCGAGTCTACCCCCATAGCATCTCTCACAAACACATCTTCTTCTCTAATATCACTACCACTACCCTAGTAAGGCCCCGGTTACTACCCTCTGGGACAACTGCAATGATCTCCAGACAAATCTTCTTTCCTCTATTTTCTCCCTTCTTTTAATTCACCTTTCATACCAATGCCAGATTAGGTGTCTTTATCCAAGGATTTGACGATGTCATTGTTTGGTTCAAAATTCTTCAGTGGCTTCCTATTGCCAACTTAGGTGCAGCTAGGTGGTGCAGTGGATAAAGCATGGGCCTGGAGTCAGAAAGACTCATCTTCATGAGTTCAGATCTAGCCTCAGATACTATCTGTGTGACCCTGGGCAAGTCACTTAACCCTATTTGCCCTAGTTCCTCATCTGTAAAATTAGCTGGAGAAGGAAATGGCAAACCACTCTAGTATCCTTCCCAAGAAAACCCCAACATGGGGTCACAGGGAGTCTAATATGGATGAAACAATTGAACAACAAAAAATTGCCAGCCTAAGAAGGTTAAAGCTCATTCACATTAAGGACATGCAAAGCCCTCAAAGTATCATCCTATATCTCAAGTCCTATTTCTTATTACACTCTGACCAAAGCAGACTATTCTTTAGCCACTGAACATGACCCACACTTTTGTGCTTTTTTTAGTGCATGCTGTTCTCCAGACTTGGAATGCTTTCCCTCTCTTTTTTCCTGTCCTTTACATGATTAGCTAATTGGGGGAGGGGGAAAAATATAAGTATTTATTAAGCACTTACTATATACCAGGCATTGTGTTAAGTGCTTTACAAGTATTATCCCACTTGATCCTCACACCAACTCTGATGGGTAGGTGCTATATGATCCCCATTTTACAGATGAGGAAACTGAGGCAGACAGAGGGTAAGTTGACTTTCCCAGAGAAATACAGGTAGTAAGTAGATTTCAACTCGGATCTGACTGCTTCTAGTTCTAGTACCCTAATGACTGTGCCATCTAGCTGCCTTTTAAAGGCCAACCAAAATGATATGTCTTCACGAAGCTTTCCCTGATCCACTCCTGTCCCCAGTTCTTTAGAGCTTCCCAAAAGGATGTCGCATACCACTTTGTTTTGCATCCCTTAACATATTTATCATGTAATATTGTAAACCATAGCTCTCTATGCATGTGTCACCTCCCCCCACCCCCTAGACCGTAAGCCCCATCAGGGCATCTATTATATCTTAGCCAAACTTATTATCTTCCAAACAGTGATAAGGCAGAGGGAATGCTCACACATGGAGAGCTTATAATGACCTCTGACTGCCTTTCCAACTCCAAGGTTTTGTGATTCTCCTATATGGTTCAGAGAATTTAGAGACTTAGAAATTTAGAAATAGAGAAAGGATGAGCCATGTTGAGCTATTTCATTTCTGGATTTCGTAGAATACATACATACATACATATATATATGTATACAGATGTATGTATGTGTATGTATACATATATATATATTTTAGCCTTCTTTTTCTTTGTCCTAACTTTTACATCTTTTTGTATTTTATTTTATGGGATTTGGAATGTGGGATATGGGATTATTTTAGGTATTTGGGAGTATATGTAAGTTTTTGCTAAATGAAGGAAATGATTGAAATGTTTTATATGGGTAAAGGGGAGAGGCATTGAATAGTATTTTCTACTTGGCTAAGCAGCTTATCTTTCCCCAAATCTGTTACTTTCTAACCACCCCCAATTTCCAACATTCACTTAACACAATTTTCTTCTTGTGTGACCTTGATTGAACAAGTTACTTAAACTCTGGGGCATCAGTTTCCATATCTATAAAATTAGGGCATTGAATTAAATGCCATCTAAGCTCCTTTCCAGATACAAATTCTATGAAGGACCTATAAGGTCTTATAAGAAAATTCACAGGGCAGCTAGGTGACGCAGTGGATAGAGCACTGGCCCTGGAGTCAGGAGGACCTGAGTTCAAATCTGATCTTAGACTAGACACTTGATACTTACTAGCCATGTGACCCTGGGCAAGTCACTTAACCCCAATTGCCTCATGTAAAAAAAGAAAAAAAAATTCACAGAGAGAGAGAGAGACATACACACATATACCACACAGCATTTCATTATAGCATATCATTTGAAAATTTTTAAAAGCAATCATTCGGTGTGCATTGGTTCCTCCTTATAGCCCATTCATTTTTGGCTGGGCATCGACTGAGTCAATCCTTGTTTATCAACAGCAATTGGTGGGAAATTATCATGAGGTATTCAGAATAAGAAAGGCAATGGCCACCTTGTACTCTGCCCTGGTCAGACCAAAACTGAAATACTATGTTCAATTCTGGGTATATTTTAGGGAAGTCATTGACAAACTGTGGCAGGTCCAGAACATAACCAGGAGATAAAAGGCCTAGAGGCCATGCCATATGAGGATCAGTTAAAGATGTTTAGCCAAGAGTATCTTCAAATAGAGTTTAAATCCTTCCATATACATTTACTACCTATCTGACCACGGGTAAGGCATCTCCAGTTTGTCACGAGGATCAAATGAGATGACATATGTAAAATGCTTTGGTAATCTTAAAGCACTATAGAAATGCTATCTCTTACTTTATTGTTACTCAAACGTTTAAAGGGCTGACATGTGGAAGGGGGATTTTGTTTTGTTAGGCCCCAAAGGAGAGAAATAGAAGCAACATGTAGAAGTCACAAAGAATTATGCGTAGGTCTGATGTTGTGTCAGCACCAGTAAGTCAGTCAATAAGCATTTATTAAGTGCTTATTATATACAGGCACTATGTTAAGCTCAATAATGTTCTTTTATAGTCATGCCACAATTTTTCAGTCATTCTCCAGTTGGTGGACACAAATTTGTTTGTGGCTTCTTTGTTTTTTACTTGCACAAAAAAACATGCAATGGATGGCCTCAGGAGATAGTAGCATGTTCTGCATCCTTAGAAGTGTTCAAGAAACTACTAGATCACTCTTGGGGCCATTGCAGAGAGGCAAAGATGGTTTAGGCATAAATGGAATTAGTTGGTTTCTGAGGTCCTCTCCAACTTTGAAATCCTGTAATTTGAGAGAAATGATTTGGAGAGCTCCCCCTTTTTCTAAAGTCCTCATTTTTTTTTAAGTGAGGCAATTGGGGTTAAGTGACTTGCCCAAGGTCACACAGCTAGTATGCAGCAAGTGTTTGGTCTAAGGTCGCATTTAAACTCAGGTCCTCCTGACTTCAGGGCTGGTGCTCTATCCACTGCGCCACCTAGCTGCCCCTAAAATCCTCATTTTAAAAGCTCAGTCTCTGAAGGTTGAATTAATTTTCTCCTCAATCAGACCCCACCCAACCTTACTAGGAGTCTAATCTAAGGTGTTTTCTTGCCCATTGTGTTCTACTCAAATTTAGGGGGAGATAAATTCTTTGATTAGATTGCCCAAGGCTGGGGATAATTTACAAATAAATGACATAATCAAAGTTCATTAGAATAGGTCCAGCCCCTCATTATAATATTCATTCTCTTTCATTACTTATTAACCAATCAGGGTTGATTGCCATCCTCTGGAACATTTGCTTTCCAAGGTCA